GAAGAGCAGAGTCTTGGCCTTGTGCCACATGCAACCCTCGTGGAGGGGGTGGCTAGATATCGAATCGAGTCGAGCCGATAGTAGTTCACTCCAAACCAGACTGACAGTCATACTAACACCTTCCACATCTTGTATTAGTATTTCGTGTAATATACCTTCGTTATTTCTACTCTTGTGTTCGTGTTGTTCTTCCTTGGTCCTAACCTGGGCCATAACATAACCTCAATGGGTTATTTAATGCTGACAAGATTTTAATTTCTGGTAATATTTTTTTCAAATATTTATTGCCGATACTAATTTTTTAAAAAGTATTTCTGGTATTAAAATCTATTTTTCCACTTTCATAGAGTTTTGAGTCAGGTCGGGGTGTCAACTATTTGCCCATAGATGGGACCCTAACAGGTGCTACCACCCCGGGTTAGGGTAGAGCTGGTAGTGGTTCCATGCTCCTCAAAACCTCCTGATCAGAGACCTTGCTGTAGTTTATCGTCTTACCCAGGACGCGGATGTAGCTTATCGTCTTACCCAGGACGCACTGGAGGTCAGGCGTCTAAAGTATCAGCGGATATGCTAGGCAATGAGAACATCTTTAGTAGTCCTAGCATAGCAATAAATACAATATGGGAGCCACTAGTAAAGAAAGAAAGACAAATGACAGCAATTGTTCAACAGGAGCAGCAGTCAAAACATCGCAGGTAACATTAACAACAGTAAAACCAGCACTAATCAGCAGACAGCTTAGGTTTAAGGTTCCAAATTCATTAAAACGAAATCGACTAAAGCAGTGGTTCGTGAATTATGATTTCAATCCCTGGGTAGTGTATATTTGGACTCGAGTGAGCAATAACTGAGCAGTATTGGAAATAAGAATTAGATGAGATATCGTTAGACATGAGCAGTGAAACCTGAACAGTCTACCGCGTAGATTAAATAAAATGTTCAATTCAGAATTCCCTGTAGTTTAAGCAGATTGATATACACCTGATGAATTCCGGAGGACACAACGGCTGAAACATTGTGATAACGGCAAAAATAGTCTGACTATAAATAGCGTAAATAAGTAGTTAAACTAATTTGAAACCTTGAATAGTGCAATGGTTGGTAAAATCATTAAAGTCGATTCACAATCGGACACTCTGTGCTATATTAATAAATGCTTTTCCGGGTATCAGCGATGGATCTGCACAAGACATAATGCATGATGACTTTGGTTTGCGTAATGTCTGAGAGGGTTGGATTCCCCCCCAAAAGCAAGTGGTGTAATCGTAGCTTAGTGAATAAACAAAAAGCGTCTTTTCCGAAGGGATAAAGAAGCTTGTTGAACGATACTAGAAGTACATCGCCCTACATGGGGGACCATGAAGAAATAATGGATTTGTTCTTCTTTAGTTTAAATAAAGGTATTATATAGAAATTGCCTTGACATTTTGAATTAACCCCATATATATATATATATATATATATATATATATATATATATATATATATATATATATATGTGTATGTGTCCTCCGGAGAACGCATATTTTTCTCGAACATTCAGTCGGGTAAATGTAATTAATACTGTTTATTTAAAAAACAGATCATTTGCTTAAGTAAAATCTCTAAAATTAACATATGAACAAAAATATATTAAATAATTATCGGACTTAATCCATTTCATTATATATATATATATATATATATATATGTATATGTTTGTGTGTGTGTGTATATGTAAGCAAATATATATTTGCTTACATATACACACACACACATCTATATCCATATGGATATAGATTTGACGTCGACATTGAAACAATATTAAAGCAGCATATTTGCATATTCGAATTTTTGTTTTTCCATATTTTTTTCTTCATATATATATATATATATATATATATATATATATATATATTTGTGTATTTGGGCAGCTATCCCTCTTATATACGAAATTCATTAATTAATTTTTCTTGTGTTCTTCTACATTTCCTCTTTTATGTGCATAAATTAATTAGAAATTGTCCGAATGTTCTGTAATTCCGAGCGCTTTCGGCTATACCTTTAGTCATTATCAAGGATGATTTTATATTTACTTTTAACTGAGTGTATGAATTGTTTTACGCATGTCTTTCGAGTTATAGGAATGTTTTATTTTCCAAACACGGTCCACACATAGGTGATGTTATTGAGTTTTGATATTTTAAAAAATTAATAATGCTTTCATCCACATGTAAAAAAATGAATAAAAATAAAGGTAGCATTATTAATAAAAAAAGAAAAATCAGTAATCAATAACATCAACTATGAACACGGCTATAATGTATTGAACTTTTAAAAAATGTAGTTAATAGGAAGTAAATAGATATTCATTCATAGTAGGATTAACGATGGTCGTTTTATCGTCATACAGTTTCAGAAATAGAGAAAAAAGAATTATGAAACCCAATGTGACATAAATTTAAAAAAAAAAAGAAAAAAAAAAGTAAAAATGCCAATATAGTGAATTAAAGAATTTAATTTTTGGTAAAAGAAGAAACGATTTATTAGAATAACATCCCTACAATTTTGAAAAAAAAAAAAAAATTCTTGGCACGTGCCAAATTTTACTGTATGAATAGTATTGGTCGCCAAGCGGATGTGAGGAGACAGGTCCACTAGGCAGAATTGATCAGATTTATAAACAACCGCATCACGTGTCCCCGGTGTCAGACAACCTATTAATTTAATTGCTACCTGTTTTCATTAATTAAAAGAAAATAAAGATATCTGAGAAAAGGTTTGAAAACTGATACAAAAAAAATCATCAGTTTTTAGATTCATTGAATGCTTGGGACTATACTGAACTTTTTTTTTTTTTAATTGTTTCGTTCGAATGCCGAAAAATACACAGAAAATGAAAGACTTTTTTTTCAATTTCAGATTTCTTGAAGAATAAATTATTATTGGCATTGTTTAGAGGCAGATTAGTAACCTAATCTTTGCTGTGATTTTCATAAAGTTTCGGTCGCTTTTTCCACCAGCGTTCTTCAAAATCGATTCGGGTAACCATTTACCTTTATTTAATATACGCGGTTAGATTTTTTTCTTTTACCTTCCATGTCTGCAGATATCTACTTTTTTTATTTTTAGTAATGTCCCGTTATAGTTAACCTTGTTTTCACTGAGTATCAAGCGCTGGAAGGAAGGAAGTTCGCCAGCAAATCTGTAATCCTCCCGTGGAACAATCCTAAAACTAGAACTTGGAGCATTAAATATAACTAGAAATACCCGTGAAAAAGTGTTTTAACAGAGGACGGAAAGTGTGATACAGAAGTCCGAAGGTACACTGGGATAGCGAAAGTGCCTTCAAAAAACTAAGCAAAGGATTAAAAAACAGAAAATATACTGTCAGAAGCAAATAAAAGAGTAATGAACTGTTAGGTAATATCAGTTCTCCTATATGGCAGTGAATACTAGATATTCTCCTCACTGATGATGAAGAGAATTCAAGCAACAGAGATTTGGTTCTACAGAAGGATGCTGAGAATACCACGGACCGAAAAGGTGAGCAACGACGTAGTTTTAGAAAAAAATGGAAACAAAACAAAAAAAGATACGCATAAATCAGAATGAGATAGTTTAAATTTCCAGGGCACATAATGAGGAAAGAGGGCTTGGAAAATTTGACACTCACAGAACAGATTGAAGCCAAAATAGAGAAATGACGCATAAATAGTGAGCTTATCTAAACGGATGTCAGAACCAGATTTAGAAAAATAACAAAAGACAAAAAGAACTACAAAGGAGAGGAAATTGTGGAGAGACATGACCGTCAACGCCCTAAGATACGCCACATAGAAGAAGACGAACAGAAATAATTTAAAAAATATATTTATTTTTATAAAATTCTATATTTTTATATATATATATATATATATATATATATATATATATATACACACACATTGCCGTGTCTAAAAATATAGAATTTTATAAAAATTTAAATATATTTTTTTTAAATTATTTCTGTTCGTCTTCTTCTATGTGGCGTATCTCTTCAGGGCGTAGACGGTCATGTCTCTCCACAATTTCCTCTCCTTTGTAGTTCTTTTGTCTTTTTGTTATTTTTCTAAATCTGGTTCTGACATCCGTTTAGATAAGCTCACTAGTTATGCGTCATTTCTCTATTTTGGTTTCAATCTGTTATTGATTTAAATATAAGGTTCATATTTCCCGTTTTATTGCTAAAATAGATACAAAAGTATCTCATTGAAGAAAAAAAGGGGAGATTTTAAGGCCAACGGGCGCCTTAACCCCCTTTTTTTTTAAAACAAGATACTTTTGTATCTATTTTAACAATAAAACTGGAAATATGACCCTTATATTTAAATCCATTTTGAATTAGTGTGACAGTAAAAAGAACCTGTTTATATATATATATATAATTATTTGCTCTGGATTTACATTGAGCTCTCTGGATTTTATCCTCCTTAGGTTTACCCATACGGATTACCTAGTTTTTCATAAACTATATATATATATATATATATGTCTCTGTGTGTGTGTGTGTGTGTGTGTGCATGTATAAACATGCGTTAACTGATGTACAATTATATAATAAAACGAAGATTTATTAGTTCAAAACCAATCGATAATTGCAATCGACTTATACACGGATATGTACGACCTGACGGGACGAAAAGTGCTCACGGTAGACAACTAAATAGAAAATCTGTGATTGTTAAAATGGTGGTTCTGGCAAGCGAATAAAAAAAATTGAGGAACAAAATGACAAAAAAAAAAAACAATAAAAAACTAAGATTTGCCAAGCGAAATCTTCGCATGTCTTTTGGGATTTTTGCTAATGAAGACAAATTTGATGGCGTCGAGGAAACTCCATATCGGGGCAACTTAGGTCGTAAATCGAACGCAAAATGTAAATAATGGCTACAGCGCTTTCTGAAATGACTTTGGACCTTGCTCTCTGGTTTTCGAGCGATCAACACTTGAACGTGACGTTTTGAATTCTTTCTTTCTAGCCAACACAAGATTTCTTTTTAAGTTTCCCTCTCGTTCGTTCCTATTCTTCAATATTTTTCTTTCCTTTTTTTTTCTATTTATTCTTTCATTCGATTTTATTCATTTTTACTGGCTTGCTTGGTTAAACAAACCTTCCTTTTTTACTCTACTCTTTTCTTTCTTCGTTCATTCTTTCATTCCTTTAAACGATATATCTTTTTCTTTATTTATTTTTATTTCTCTTTATTTTTCTTTTTTTCTTTTCTTACACTTTCTTTTTTTAATCTTTTTATTAAACTCTTTTTCTTTATTTCTTTTATCATTATTGGTTTCATTCTTAGATTTTTTTCCCTTTTTCTCATTTTTTCAAAGATGTCTTTCTTTCATTCTTTCTTTTTTTCTTTCTTTTGGCATCGGGATTTTTCTTTCTTTTTTGTTACATTCTTTTCGTTTGTTTGTTTCTGTTACTATCGGCTTTGTTCTTTCAATTTTCCTTTTTTCATTTCTTCATAGATATCTTTCTTTCTTCATTGGATTTTTTCTTTCTTTTCTTTCTCTATTGGCTTCTATAACTTTCCTTTTTTTCCTTTCTTTCTTTCAGCATTGGAATCATTTCTGATTTATTTTCCTTTCATTATTTTTCCTTCTTTCTTTCTTCATTGGATTTTTCTTTCTCTTTCTTTCTTTCTCTATTGGCTTCGTTCTTTAACTTTCCTTCCTTTCGGCATGGGATGTTTTCTTTCTTTGTCTTTCTTTCTTTCTTTATCTATTTCTTCTATTCTTTCTTTCTCTATTGGAATTTTTCTTTCTTTCTTTTCATCACTTTCTTTTTTTGTTTGTTTCTTTCTCTATTAGTTTTGATCTTTAACTTTCCTTTTTTCATTTCTTACTTTCTGCATTGGGATCATTTCTTATTTATTTCACTTTCCGTTTTTTTCTTTCTTTCTTTCTTTCTGCAGTGAAATTATTTATTTATTTTCCTTTCTTTCTTTATTAGATTCATTCCTTAACTTTCGTTTCTTTCAGTATTGGATTTTTTGTTTGTTTCTTTTTCCCTTTCTCTATTTGAATTTTTCTTTCCTTCTTTTTGCATTTCTGTTTAGCTATTAAATTTCTTTCTTTCTTTCTTTCTTTCTTTCTTTCTTTCTTTCTTTCTTTCTGTATTGGAATTTCTCTTTCCTTCTTTACCTCTCTTTCTTCTTTGTTTCTCGTTTTCGCCATTAGCTTCGTTCATTAATTTTCCTTTGTTCATTTCTTTCTTTCTTTCTTTCTTTCTTTTTATATATTATTTATTTCTAAAGTAGAGCTTAATTCTACATTCTTATTTCTTTTTCCTTTTCGCTCCTATTTACTCCAGTATATGAACAATGTACTTTTTCATTTTGCGATGACTTCATATGACTTTTTCTCAGGTGTTCTTTGTATCTATTTCCTTCTTTACATGTCATCTTCTCGTTCACTTTTCTTCTGTTTTTTTTTCTCATCGGATATGTTTTACGTTTCGTTTTAAACATCCTTTCTTCCTAATTTGTCTATTTCTTTCTTTTCTTTTTTCTTTCTTTCTATTTTACTATGTGATTTTCCTTCGCTCTTTTCTTTTATCTCTTTGATTTTTTCTCTCCTTTTCTTTCATTTTTTACTGTTTGATTTTAAATTGTACCTTTCATTTTCTTTTATTTCACTTTTTAGTTTTCTTTCTTTCTTTCCCCATTGGTTTTAATTATTGTTTGTGTATTTGTTTATCTGTTTCTTTCTTGCCAGAGTGTCGGTAGGACAAGGAATAGATCAACAGTCCAACCTTCGGAGTCCACTAGACACCGATTAATGCCGACCAATGCTGATTTCACGCTACGAGTTTAGCGTAGAAGATTTTCATAGAACTAATTTGCATATTGGCAAACAGTACCATCTGCCGAAATTTATGACACCAAATTGTTACAAAGAGTGAACCCAGCAGAAACTTGATGTGCTATAAATGACAATAATGGCGTTAGATTCATTATTATTATTATTATTATTATTATTATTATTATTAGTTGGAAAGCGTTAAAATAAATATTATAGTCAATGTGCAACGAAGCCCTCTTGGCGATGTTTAGTGTGTAGATGTGAACGAATATCCTCATCTTTACTATTTCGCTCGGTGTGCTTTTTGCTATAACTAGTGTTGCCTGAACCGCCTAATTTTCAGTGATTTATCGCCATTTTGTTTTTCTTTTGTTTTCCTTATTAATTTTACGCTTGTGCTCTATACCGTTTTTCGTTGGGAAACCGGAAATCGATAGAACGAGTCTTTTTAAAATATTGACGAGGATTATTGTCTATTCATTTTTACGATTAATTAGAGTAGATCAACACAGCGACCCAAAGAACGCGATGTTGTACACTATGGTAAATGGATGTGCATAGACACACAGAGCATACAAAAGATTTTATAGCGCCATAATTCTAATAAAAAAAAGTCTGTGTATTTGGAACATCAGTGTCTATAAAATGCTAGTTTTTTTTTCCTGTATTCAA